TTGTATTTGTAGTTGTAGTAGTAGTAGTAGTAGTAGTAGTAGTAGTACTAGTACTAGTAGTAGTAGTAGTAGTAGTAGTATTGGTGTAGAAGTAGTAGCGCTGGTGGTAGTAGTAGTAATAGTAGTAGTAGTAGTAGTAGTAGTAGTCATAGTACTAGTAGTAGTAGTAGTAGTAGTAGTAGCAGCAGCAGCAGCAGCAGTCGTAGCAGGAGTAGGAGGGCAGTACCAGTACCAGCACCAGTACCAGCACCAGTACCAGCACCAGCACCAGCAGTGGTAGTCGCAGTAGCAGTAACAGCAGCAGCAGCAGTCGCAGTGGCAGTAGCAGTGGCAGTTGCAGTTGAACTTGCACTTGCAGTAGTAGTAGTCGTGGTACAGTAGTAGTAGTAGTAGTAGTAGTAGCAGCAGCAGCAGCAGTAGTAGCAGTAGTAGCAGTAGTAGTTGTTGTAGTTGTAGTAGTTGTGGTACTTGTAGTAGTAGTAGTAGTAGTAGTAGTAGTAGTAGTAGGAGTAGTAGGAGTAGGAGTAGGAGTAGCAGTAGCAGTAGCAGTAGTTTAGCAGTAGCAGTAGTAGTAGTAGTCGTCGTCGTCGTCGTAGTAGTAGTAGTAGTCGTGGTGGTGGTGGTGGTGGTGGTGGTGGTGGTGGTGGGAAATTCTAATTTCTAAATTCTAAACCCCATTCCAGGAGATGGATGCCCAGAAGATCGACTGGCGCTTCGAGAACCATGCGCGTGGACCCCATGGCTTCGCCTTGCCGAAGGGGACCCCAGGCAGGTCGGATTGCCATGACAGGAGTGAACCCTGAATGATCGCCTGGCGGTGTATATCTGTGAGTTGGTGGATCGAAACTTCGTTCTGAGAATTCGGTTTGAAGGATTCGCATCTGCAGGCTGGTCCGAGTGGCAGTTTGTGTATTCCGCGAACGCAGGGTTTAGCACACTCATGCCTGGATTCTGCACGCATGTTTGTACTTTATGCAGGTATAGAGTCATAGAGGTCATTATGATGCTTCGACGGTATCGCATAAGCATGTCGACAACTTAGAACACAGAGCAGCGCGATTGCAACTTTGACACTGGAATTGTCAGAAGATTTGTGACGGCTACATGAAATTGGGTGTTATGATGAGCACCCTGGGAAGTTGTGAGGAAAGTCTCGATTCCGGCGATTTGGTTTCAGGGATTGACTTTCTGTCGCCCAGATTCGTAGGTGGCGACCAGTACACAGAGACAATTGACCGACGGTCAACGCTGGCGACGCTGGGCCCCAAAGCATATCAGAGCTACTGTTGTGGCTTTTCTCCAGTAAAGCATATTTCAGCACGAGCCTGTACTCTCCTTGCAGCTGGCCGGGCTATGTTAGAAGACGTGCCGTCCAACATGGGCCAGGGTTTCCGCACATTCACATTCATATGCTGAACCGCAGCTTCATCGTCTTGTTGGTTCTTGCTTCGTCGTTGTACTAGCATGGACGTGTTTTTGGCCACGCGCTGGAAAACCTCTTAGCATTGAGGGTCCCTGCCATGAAAACCGAGTTGGCATACTGGGAGGGGTCAGCCTCACCAGCAATCGATCTCAGCGACATCAAAATTCAAGCCACCAGTTGTAAGTTTTACCACCTGCAGCTCTTGACGGCCTGCATTTGCTCTCGTCGACACGAGGATGCTCAGCCTTTTCGCTGAGACGTTCCCGAGTTTCCCGCGGCTTGCTTGCAGCAATCAGTCGCGTTGCAAAGTCACGACTAAAGGCCGGCCGAGCCAAGCATGGGCAGCAGAAATCTTCCCCGAGCTGTCGCCGTCGTGAATGGTGAATCTCCCATGGACAGGCAGTCACCGGTGGAGTGCAACGCGGCTGGGTGCAAGTTGGGTCAAGTGCTTCTCGGCGTTCACCTGCAGTGAAGGGCTCATGTTGAGAATGGCAGGCAAAGGTTTCCATGCAGGAAATGAAAAATCCACAAAGCCTCAGAGACAGGACTCCAGGAAGCCAGATTTCAACAATGCTTCACTATGTCACACCTCCAGGATCGTGGTTAGAGGCACCGCTGGCAGCCAGGGGCAGCGATCCACGGTGGCAACAGCTGGAAGCTTTGTGGCTGGTGCGTTGCTTGACAGCATTTTTGGGACCGTTTCAAATTGGCTGTGGTGTCCTGTGATCGCTTGATGCAGATGCATTAAATCATCAAGCTTTATTTTCAAGAAGGTGGTGCCATACACAGCAGGGCCAGAATGCCAGCTGGCACTGCAACGACCTAGCTGTATTAAGCTTGAAAGCTTTATCGGGGTCCCTCAGAGCAGTCCGGGGTCAGGAGCTTCACAGCAGTGACTTCTTCTGGAAGGTCTTCTGGGTGCGTTGCTGCTTGCGTGCTTTGCTACTGCCGTGCGACACCTCAAGGCCAAGCCCGCAGAATCATCCACAGCAGTGTCGGCAGTGTGGGAAGCAACAACACTGGGAGACTAACCGCAAGGGGCATGCATGTTGGTAAGGCTTCTTGGAATGGTCGCCCTGAAGCTCTGTGGGTCGAAGCTTTGAAGGCCCGGCCACATCATTGGATTCCCCTGGTCCGCAATAGCTGTGATCAGATTCCCAGTCAGAACTGTCACTGCAGCTATAACGATACTTTGGAAGGTATGCGGCTGCAGTGAAGCAGAATAACAGTGCTTAAGACCTCCCTGCGTCAAGACGATGTGTCCTTTGCATCTTGTGCTGGTCGGAGCATCCTACTTGGAGTTTCAGGATCTCATCAACTGCAAGCCCCAAGCCGTGTTAACATCTGAGACACCTTGCCAGTCGTGTGGAGCAGGTGAAGCTTGGCACGCTTCCAACAGATCCAGTGAAATCTTCCTCTTCAGTTCAAGGCCACAGGCTGCTCAAAGACAGTGCGAGGCACCCTGTTGTAGAGAGCCACACGGGTGCCAGGCTTTTGCAGGCCCCATGAGTAGAAGTTTTGGTTTTGGGCTGCCGAGACGCTTCTGAAGTTTAGGAAGTAGAAGAAGAAGGAGCATTTTGAAGAGGCCGTGGTGCCGAGATAGAAGTGCAACTTGTCGCGACTAAGCTCGCGAGAGCAGCCAGAAATGGTTCAAGTTCCTGTCAAATTGTAAATTTAGCCCTGATAGGTCGCAAGTGCGAACCACTCCCGGCAGCACAGCTGCGAGATTGAGTTTGTAGGCTATTTATTATACTTTTACTTCTGCTTCCAATGGGTTTCTACTTCCTGTTGCTCCTACTCCTACTACTACTACTACTACTACTACTACTCCTACTACTACTACTACTACTACGACGACAGCCATCCTCTTCTAAAGTATCCAGTCATTTGTCTGCAGGACACTTAGGGGCTCGTTGGAGAGAAGTGC